CGTCATACATAACTTCAAAATGATAATATGAAATTACGATCTTCCTTTTATTTGTCCTCAATTCGAAAAAGTATTTGCGAAGTGCAGGATATTTAAATAGAAATGCGTTTAAAGAAAACAATCTCCTTCATTACTCCTGCATTACTTGTCAACTAGTTTCAAGTTAGCTTTTTGTAGCTAACTGCGGGTTATATATTTTATAGAAATCCCGCAAAAAAGCTAACTACAAGTGGGTTATTTTTTATCAATTGATAATTTTTTTTCTGCTGGGACATACACAGACCTGATCCAGAAGCGAATTATCATTCTCGAGCGCCACTAAATATGAATGCAGATTGCGAAGAACTGCAATTAAGACACCTCCTCCTCTTAAACATCCAGTTTTCGCAGCGTCTCTATCCTTTCGGTGGACATTATAAAGGTTAGCGTCGAAAAATTCATTATCATTAAACACTGAACTCAACCATGTCTCAACAATAACAAAAACGTCATAGTCGAGCTGAGAACTTAAATTGCGAACTAGTTCAGACTTAGTACGAATGCCGGAAGCGTTTTGGAAATACACCTTCAAATTGGAAGCACTCCTAACCATCTCATTCAATTTTGCGCTACTTGATTTCTGGTGCATAGTCTTTTTGAAAAAAGCGAAAGGGTCGTATTTTAACATTTGCAGGCCATATATTTTCATTATTTATCACTTTATCATAGCTGCACTCAGAAACGCCCAATTTGAAGCTTACTTTTGTTGAGACCATTCAAGTTAGTATCCTTCTTTACTAACATATAGCAATAAAGAAATTTAGCGTCTACACAAGCATGTATAGCAGCATAACTGATAGTTTCAGCTGCGGTGACTGTGGGCGAAAAAGAAGATACATGTAGCCTTTTCTGGTTAGGGATGACACTTAATTCATTGCTGTTGTTAGCTCCGATAAGTAGCGGTTGTTTCAGCTTCAAGCGCTTGTTATTAGCAACACTCTTCCAACCAGTGGGGGTGGTTTAGTACTAGTACCAGAAGAAGTAGTTTCCACTGTAGTGTCAGGCGCATTAGACGACCTCATACTCCGCCTGGACGCGTTGGGCAGCATGGGAGCTGCAGTATCCTGCGGCGGTCAATACGTCGTACTCACCGAACCGGCTACACAACTGGCACCGATACCGCCCGCCACCTCACAAACCACGGAGGATAGAATCCCGCCCGGAATAAACAATAACATCCCACAGAGGGCGCCAAAGAGAAAGCACCGAAGGAGGGGCAGGCTCAGGAGCGAGAGGATTAACGACGACCCCAGTGGCTACTGGCAAATACCCCTGGAACCAAACAGCCTTCACCGTGCCGGGGCGCGGATTATTTCAATGGCGCGTCATGCCGTTCGGCTTGCACTCCGCGCCAGCAACATTTCAGAGGGCATTCGACCAGGTCATCGGCTCAGAGATGGAAACCCACGTCTTCGCCTACCTAGATGACATCATTGTCATAGGCTCCACCCTCGAGGAGCACGTACAAAACCGACGAGAAGTACTATCACGACTACAACGCGGGAACCTCCGCTACTGGTGTTCTTCGACCGTTTCAGCAAGTGGGTGGAGCTAGTCCCAATGAGACGCGCTACGGCAGAGGGACTCCGCCGTGCGTTCAGAGAGCGAATCCTACCGAGATTTGGCGCTCCGAAGATAATCATCTCGGACAACGGCGTTCAGTTCACCAGCACGCTGTGGCCACGCTACCTCCAAGAGATGGGAATACGCCAACAGTTTACCGCGCCATACACCCCCCAGGAGAATCCAACGGAACGTGCTAACCGGACGGTCAAGCGAATAATAGCCCAACTCACCAGATCGCAACACCAGCGATGGGATGACCTCCTCCCCGAAATCGAGCTAGCCATAAATACCAGTGTCACTGCCTCTACGGGATACAGCCCTGCTTTTCTCGCCCAAGGGCGTGAGCCACGAATACCTGGAGCACTCTTTGACGAGATCAAGATTGGGACGGGCACTATTCCCCCTACTGCCGAGGAGAAGTCCAGGCATTCAGGATTGGCCGGCAAAACATGGAGAGAGTGGCGACGGGCAGGGCCCGCCACTACAACCTCAGACGTGGAAAATGGACACCTAGGGGCATACCAACGCCCGACTGTATCCAGGGCAGGGCAACAGCCGGTACGCGCGACCTACTCGTAGTCGCAGCAGAGCAAGCCATCATCACCGAGGGTAGCTCTGCGAGCAGCATCTCAGCAGGAAGCAGCAGGTCGAGCGAAAGCGCGACTAGCTTGGACGACAGCACGACTAGCTCAAATGACAGCTCGGACAACTCGAGCGAGGGGCCGACTAACACGCCAACCACTAAGTCCAACAGCTAGTTATCCTCGACGCGAATACAGTCACCGACCATCAAACTCTCCTCAGGGGAAGAGACAACGCCACGGGAGGAGCAAGGTCCGGTACAGACATACCCGCCAGGGCCAGGCAGCGTCGCGATGGTTGACGGACGCGGTGATCGATGCATGGGCGAGAGGGCTAGAAGCCGAGCTCGGGCCACGGGCCACCATACTCAGCCCTTTTGTAGTACGGCAACTAGCGCAGAGAGGAACCCGGAGGAAAATTATCGTCGCATCCATCGCTGGCTACGAAAGACGGACCAGTTCGATAAGCGGACGGTTCTACCGCCCCACAACACGGCTTGACACTGGTACCTGCTGGTCCTTGTGAATCAGAGACCACCTACCATCTCCTCGATATGGAGTGCTGGCGGGAGCGCTATCTATTTACCGTGGTTTCTAGGGTGAGGGGCAGAGTCGTCCACGCAACAGAAACATGGGGAAAGTTCCTACAGTGGGAGTACACCCAGAGGCTTGCGCGGGTGGGCTCCGAGGTTCAAGAAGTCTACCCGGTCACCCCTACCACCTCAACAGCCCTCAGATCCTCATCAGTGACGCATATGGACGGGCATTAGACCAGTTCCCGACAATAGCGGAAAGAATCCGTCGGAGCCTCAGTAATATCACCGCGCGCGCATGCAAACCCCGGCTGAGGTTCAGTACCAAAGACTACCGGGTAACTATACACCACTGGGGCGCACACGTCCACCCGAAGACGAAGACCCGAGGATCCAGACCACCAAGTAGAGGGGAGTGTGAGGACTAAATGCCCATGGGAAATTTAGCCCACACAAAATCCCACACCACCAACCAAGACAGCAACACAAAACAAGGCAACCAGTCGCGCAATAAGCCACAGCAGCAAAAGTCGTAACAACACCCGACAACCTCTTCGTTGCCATGACAACGCAACATCGCACAGCAACATATAGCTGCACGGCCCCGCAACTTCAAGCACGCAGCCTATTAAAGGAGTAGCACGTGAAGAAACCAGTCAGTCAGCACGAGACTGTGCTCGTGAACAGGCGGCCATTGGCAAGAAGTGACTTCATCTGCCCCGGCTCGACTGTCGGGCTTGATTCCATTTCTGCAACTTGACTGTCGGGCTGGATGTCACCTTCTCAGTGGCAAAGCCACAGGTTACACACGCTCTCACCACAGCCCTCGTTAAACCGCGCACGGGCGACACCCACTCGCCCGCCGTCGCCAGAGTTACATCAACGGCGTCAACAAGAGCACCACTTACCGACGTTAGCAGCGCGCCACTCAGCGGCGTCAGCAGAGCGCTGCCTACCAGTACCAAAGCTACGCCACTACGGCATAACGGGCCAGCAACGGAATGCGGAGCCGTTACCCAGCCACCAAAAGCCGTAAATTTAAACAAGTAAATGAAAAAATATATATATATCTATATATTACGAAAATCCCTCGCATAATTACTCATTTCTATTGGTTTCTGTGTCTAAATCCCGTTAAACTTATCACTTGTTTCTTGCCAGATACCAACAGGGTTGCTTAAGTAGCTAAAAGGAAATTTTACACAAGTTGAGCGCTCTTTTGTTGCTCGTTTACAAAAAAATGCACCTTATGCCGTTCCAAAGTCTGTACTAGGCACGGATAATACTGCGCTGCGCGGCGTAATTGCGTTAACACCGTAGCAGGAGTTGCCGCGACAACACCAATATATGAAAAGCGCTGGCGCCATTAACACCAAGAAACACTTGAGACCAACACAAAATTCGCCTTAATTCTTTAAAAAATTTCACGTATTTTTATTTGTTTTTGAGCTGTGAGAACGCCAGAAACTTATGTACCTTGGCAAGAATGATGAGAATATCGTGGCATTTACTACATTCCTAATAGTTAAATTCGGTTGACGGTACAAGCGTTGCTCAGCGCCGAAAATTAAACAAAAATAATAGACATGACACCACTGTATTGTGTATGGATGACACAGTATGACGATGGGTACTGTGGTGACACTCAGATGGCGTTGTGTTCAAATCAGCACACTGCGCTATTGCGCTGACAACCCAGGTAGCGCCGGAGTAATTGAGCTAGCGCCATAAAAATCCGCTATTACCCATGGCTAGTCTATATGTACATACATACATATGTCTTCATTACGCAGCAAAACTCTTTATCATATAAAAAGTTCAAAATTTTTTATATTCATTGCTTAATCTTGTACCCTTACGGCATACACTGAAAAAACACTTTAGTGACGTCAACTAAAAATCTTTCGCGCAACATAAGAACAGCCAACCTTCTTATGAGCGCTGAATCATTCTGTAATTTGAACTAGCTGCCCATTTTCCAAACGTCCATGTAATGTGTGTAGCTAACTCAGAATGAAGCAAGTATTGAGGGCATTTTTGGTATTTCAGACAGGCCTTTTGGCTATCTGTTAACTTGGATGGATAAAAAAAAAATTTGGTATGGCCAATATCTGTTATTCTACCGGTCGCAACCTGCGTTTGACAAGCGTCGATTAGATTAGCCTCTGCAGACAAAATGTTGTCCTTCACTTTACTGTAATTAGTCGTAAGGAATATACTATACATATAACTTTTTACGAAGCAAGAACGATAGTTCTGGTAATTCTCTGTGTTCTCTCAGCCACCAACAAGCCGCAAACCTTGGCAAAAAATCTTCGACGCACAGAACTTCGGCAAACGTTGTCCGGTTATAACAAGCGTGTCGAAATTAAATGCCTCCAAACTGAAAGATGACCTTGAAGACTGCCTGAACTTGAGCGTCTACACCAAAAGCGTAAGCTGGACTTATTTATAAATTTAATAACATCTTGTAGCTATTTCTCTACTCTAAATTTATTTCCAGCTCAATGCCAGACAACCAGTGATGTTCTACATTTACGGTGGTGGCTTCTATAATGGTTCCGCCTCTGATCATCCGCCACACCATTTGCTAGAAAAGGACATAGTGCTGGTAGTGCCACAGTATCGCATTGGCGCACTCGGCTGGCTGACTACACTCACCGAGGAAATGCCTGGCAATGCGCCCGTAATGGATCTGCAGCTGGCTTTGAGTTGGGTGCAGGAATATATTTATAAATTTGGCGGTGATCGCAACAAAGTTACGATATTCGGACAAAGTGCAGGAGCAGCTATGTCTGGCGCCTTGCTGCTGAGTCCCAAAACGTCAGAGAGCTACTTCAAGCGTTCCATTGTGCAATCGGGTGCCATAACTGCGTTTTGGGCCATCAATCGTGAACCGCTGGCGCAAGTGAAACGCATCTGTGAGGCGCTCAACTGCGAGCATTGTGACGAGAGTGCGGAACAGTATAAATGTTTGAGGAGTGTGAATGTATTACAGTTACTCAGAGTGACAACAGCGGTGAGCTGAGAATGAGTTTTAGAAAAATTAAATTAATATTTGAAATTATATATTTAAGGAAAGTTTCAGTCCCGTAGTTGCCGATGTATTTGGCGTGCTTCCTTCAGAGCCGAGAGTGCTGCTTGAATATCTTAAACGCACAGTACCGCTGATGGCTGGTTTCACTAAACATGATGGCTCTTTTGCATTGGCAAGTACGCCTCTAACTGATTGATTCAAAAATGCACGTAAATCTCTGAAAATATAATTTCTCTACAATCTAAAAGCACTCTACGACAGTATTGTGGCAATGTTAGGTAGCATTGCTAAATTAACTGTGCGTCAGTTCGCAAACACGCTCATTGATGTGGGCAAGGACAGCACCAGCCTGTCCAACAATTTGCTCTTACGCATGCTTTTCGAACAGGAACTATTGGAGAGTAACAATCATACAGCTGCATGGCCGGCATACTTTGATGTTAGTGTGTGAGATCGTGTGTATGGATCGAAAGTTTTTACTTTTTTAGTATTTTAATTCTTCCTTAAATTATTTTAGGCAGCGAATATTATAGCCATGAAATCGCCAGTGATTGCTTACGCAAACGGCCTGCAGAGAAGAGGTGCGGCTCCAGTGTACCTTTATAGCTTTGACTACGAAGGCGAGCATACACGCTTCGGCTATGAGTTTGGTAATTCACAATATCCTTTCGAGGGCGGCGTGCATCATTCGAATGATAATATATACTTATTTGCTACGCACAAACTCAATGCGAATGATACGAGAATCGCAATGAAAATGGTAGATTTGTGGTATTCGTTCGCAGTGCATGGGGAGCCAAAGGTTGGAGATCAACCTGAGCTGGATATTAGAGCCATGAAGAGTACGTAAAGTATAATTGTTGTTAGTTTATAAGCTATGATAACATTTTGGGCTCGGTATGTACATAACACCGTGCGACGGTCAATTTAAAACAAACAAAAATCAATATACTTGCGAAATTAGGGGCCATATATCGTAAAGGATTTTTGCTAATTTAAGAAATTTTAAATATATGATTAAATAAAAAAATGTTTTAAAAATGACAGGGACTCTATCGAAAAATATTTGTCCTTCTGAACCAAAAAGATTTACAGAATTTTCTCTTCCATTTGGTGCCCATATTGTTCTGTGAAATTGTCAGTCCTTTCAAAAAATCCCGACGGGAGCGACAAAAACCAAAAACGTAGTTTTACTATATTTGGCGCCTAGTGTCGTGAGTATATTGGTTGTTCCATGTGTTTTGAAATTTTATTTTAATGTTTTTTTCTTTTTGTCGAACGGGGTAATCAAAGAAACCGAAAAACAATTGTCTCGATCAAGTATTTCAGACAGATCGTTTCCTTATGACTTACATTTTAATACAGTTGTATATTTACGCGTATTTAAGTGCATTATGCTTTAACTTCTAGTTTAATAGTAAATTTTTTCTTCTTCATATTTCAGCTGAAGCTGGTCCTTACTTTCACATCAATAAACAAATAACTTTGGGTTCTAACATTCTCTCTGAACTTACAGCGACGGTGGATGATCCTGACAGTCACAAATTGATCAGGCCGTCGGCATTTCAAGTAACTCATATTCGTAACAATGTTATTGAGAAGTAAGATATTGTAGGTTAGCGTGGTACGGACTTTCCTTTGATTTTCATTTGTATTTGTAAGTAAGAATTATTCTTCAAACTTTTTTTAATATACAAATAAATTTAATTTAATTTTGTATTAAAAAACCTATTATTTTGAGTAATCAATCACTAAAAAACATGAACTAGTAGATTTAATTTAAAATATTGCGAATGTGTTCCTTATCTTCCAATTTTCGTAAAATGCTTTATGTAATTTCGACCTTCTCAGCTAATTACCGCTAATCTATTTCTATCGAAAGTAAACTTTTTTCCTAACCATTTCGCACCCTGTTGCCAAAAAACATTTTAAATTCTACTTAAACGCTTAACCACAAATGTCCAAAAGTTGTTTGCCAACACTAAATTTTCCAGAACCAAACTAACCACCACACAATGAAATGAAGTCTCTTGCGTTCTAAACTCCTTTACCGCTCCTGCTGCACCTTTCAACTATTCGCCTCTATCTCTCTAATTGTCTTTTGTACTTCCTGCAACGTAATTTTCATATGTCAACAGTCAGCGACAAAATTACGATACCACAAAGTAAACAAATTAACTAAATCATCTTGAAATTGGCAGCGACTGAAATGGACCAACTAACAGTGAATATATGGACGCAGAGGAGCGAGGCGTACAGCGTTTCTGTCTCAGTGAATGCGAATTGCTTTTAGTGCAGCTTAGAGTATATTCTTCTATGTGGCCGAAATATTTTACTGTCACCATCTTTATTATCCTTTTTTGTTTTACTTACACTTTGCGGCTTTTGTCAGTTAGTTGTGAATTAGTAATTACAAAATGGAGTGAGTAAGGACGAAAAATAGGAAGTCAACTTTAAGGAGGGAATGGGGCCTGAAAGTTTCCTTATGTTGTTCGTTTCCAACGCTGTCAATAGTTGCTGGCTTTCTTTTATAGATCAATAGGTTCAGGAAATGATCCTAGAATCCAATAAACTTTTTCAGCAACTAATTATTTCAACAAAATTTCCTTTGAGAAATAAGTTTCCTGAATCAGAGTCATGAAATCCTGCTCAACTAGGGCTGTGATTGGTCTGGCCATTTTGGTATCGGTAGAATTTTCAATAAAAAATACAGCTGCTACTAACTCGTTCAGGTTTGGTGAAAAGTGCAAGCCCACATGACAAAGTCTAAATGAATTTCAAGTATGTAGTAATTCAGGTATACACTTCCCTCATCTTCGATTAGATTCGAGATCTAGTGCATAATCATAGAAGGGATTTGGACCCAATTTCTGGTCTTATCCGGGAATTCGCATAATAAGTCACGCGGTGAACATAGGTGCTCGAATGCAGAATTACCCACTAAAAGAGGTAGTTTAGAATAACCAGACAAATAAATAACCGCTATTTCAGTTGAAGAATATTTAAGTTTTTATCCTTTTTTGACTAGGGTTGCCTTATAAACAGAGGTAATTAAGTGTTAAGTAAATTAACTGAAAAAATAATTCAAACATGATGGTCGAAAAAGTTCTTACAGAAAAATAGTTAAGGAAATAGTTTTAAATAGAGTTGCCAACTATAGGAAAATTAGTGTTGATAAATAAAAAGTCAACTCTAGAAAAGTGTCCTTCTTGCGGAGGTGTGTATCACTTGTGCTTCCTTTTCCTCCCATAACCTAACTACTAGAATGTTCGATAATTTTTTTCGAGTTATTCGAAAAATTGCAATTTGAAAAAAAAAACGGTTCCCATTTTTAAATTAAGAAAAAACCGGGAAAACCGTTTCATACAGTGAAAATACTTATGTTGGGATGAAGTCAAAACCAAAAATTACAATAAAACTATTAACAGTAAATATAGCTGCCATTTAGAAAAGAGCAAAGCAAAACAAGTTCAAGCTCAAGTTTTTTTTTAGGTCAAAAGTAAAACCAATAAAATTCAGTGAAAAATTCACGTTTGGTCTTATTTTAACCTTTTTTAATACTTCACGCATTTTTTCTGACTTTCCGGATTTGAGTAGTGCTCTCGCCTCCATAGTCGAGTGCTTGGTCCAATTTCTGGCCCCTTTGGGAAACAATGACTTTTTTTGCTTGTAATGTGATACGGTCTAATGTACATACATACATACATATATGTTCAAACCGAGCAAAAATTCTGGTCCAAATGAGGAGAGTTAAGAATTTAACACAGTCTTCACACAGAACAAAAAAGCCTCCCTTTATACCCGCACTAATTTTCATTGCAGCCCTGTTTTTCCCTCTTTTTGGCGCATATGCTGAAACTGGATTGATGCTGGAGCTGTAGCAGCTTTCACGAGTTTCGGTGTGTTACTGACTGGGTTTGTTGTTGGTGCTGCTGCCGCTGACAAGGCTTTTAGTGTCATTTAATGTCAAGCGAACACTTAAGTACAACCGTGTGTCTAGGTACGTATGTATGTACATATGTATATAGCACATGTGATAATTGAATTAGAATGGCAACTGCAACAACTTCATATGTACATTATGTATGTATGGTAAAACTAAGAGTGCAATGGCGTCGTTTTCTGTCAAAAGCTTCAATTCCCATTAGGGAATTCAATCCCGCAAACGCGGGATCCTGCGCCATTTTTGCGGGTTTACATAGAAATGAGGGACTACACGTGCGGGATCCTCGGGATTTGCGGGACTACAGAAAAAAAAAATTAAAAAGACGAATGCCTGTTGTGAACGTGCTCGCCAAAATGTTCGTCGTACATAGCTGTATTAAATATGCATCATTTTATAACCCATTAGATAACTTCAGAAGCCCTTCTAAAGGCTTTCCTGAGAGTCAAGGGGCCTTTCACTCTACACTCCTTTCTCTTTTGTATGGAATGGCATCAATTGAAGGGCGTCGCCTTCCGCTACCCATAGAAGGTCTTCAGAAAGGCTTTTGTAGGACGTACTTCAGAAGGTCTTTTGGAGGAGTTCATTGAAAGTTGCTTCTCTAATTTATAAAATTCACACATCGTTAAATCGTTTATATCAAATATGTGTTATTGCAATTTAAAATGTATATTGAAATTCAATTGTAACGGTAAATAATATAAATTTATGCATTTGCGTAAATTGCAAATGGATAAGCCCTTCTGCAGAAAAGCATTTTCAGTCCTTCATAAGTAAACCTTTTAGAATAACTTCACTTAAGAAGGCCTACCTAAATTATCTTCCTTGGAAATCATATGTTCAAACTAAAAAACGACAGCACTAGCTACGACGGGGGAAACCTTCGCAATGTGTTTTGAGATTAGAAGCAAATTCTGGAGTGATGGAACAAAACTGACTTCAGATTCGTGTTCAGCGACCCCAAAAACATATCAAACACCTGGTCTGGTTTTATTAACCTTTCATCGATTTTTTTGCGAATAAATTTGAAAACGTTCGCCTTATGAACATATTATTTATACAAGTGTAGAGCAGTTCGTTTCTATCGATAAATAAGTGTGCCAGCGGAAAAATTTATTATTTTTCTTGAGCTTTCTTACAGATGCTAAATTTCGAATACTCATAACTCTGGTTCTATTAGAGGCACATATTCAGCTCTGATGTAATTTTTAAGAGTATATATAAAAGTATATATAGAATACATTATTTTAACGGCATTTTCAAATATCAAACGGTAAAAAAGTTACGCGGAAAAACAGGAAAAGTTAGTTAAATTTGAACAATCCATAACCACTGATATTTTAGCTAGTTTTGGAATTACAGCGAGCGAGTAGTGTTTCATATCGGATAAAACACTACAGTAACTCTTATTATGATATATTTTCTTCTGAAAAATACCCAACAGATATAGTGATTTTGACTATATACCTATGAAACTATGCATAATCACCAAAATCAAAAGTTCCTGTGCAATAAAAAAAGGTCGAATTTAAAAGATGAAAACTTAAAGCTCTTTTTATCATTCCATCGGAAATATTATCAAAAGAGTCAACCGAATTAAAAGTAAATACGTCGATTTTTTAAATTAAATCGTCTTTTTTACATATCAATTTTGAATATAACTGTTTAGAGGAAATAATATGATTTTTTTTTAGTCCCGCAAATCCCGCCGATCCGCGGGATTGATGACCTCGATACCGCAAGCTTGCGGGATTGGATTCCCTAGTCCCCACGTTCTGCTTCATAACTTTGAGTGTAAGCTAGAGCCCCATTCGTAACAACCAACCAAAACTCGTAAGTGGCAACAACATTAAACGTTTACATATAAATATTCTTTTACACACACATGGTATGCCAACGACTAAAAATTATTATCCTTTTAACGTATCCAACATGCGTTTGAAATACTCACCACTTTCGTGCTCATAGATCTTAATTATTTCTCAAGGAATGAATTGCCAATTTTAGTCACACATATACATACTAAAGTATACATATGTACATATGTATTAATGTGAGCTTTTAAAGTTAAGTAAAGTGTGGCTTATACATATGTGACTGATACATATGTACATTAGGGTGGGCCAAAAATACATGTGGGGGGGAAAAGGTAAAGTCGGGATTTTAATGCTCTGACTCCCAAGGATTGTTCCAAATTGATAAAATATACGCCTGTTCTTCATTTCGAAATTCAAAAATATTTAGAGGTCGTTTCAAGCGGTCAAAGTTTTCCATATATTTTATATGGGGAGAAAACAATTTTTCGTGGAAATGGTATAAATTCTTGAAAATCAATATTTTTCGATCGGAGAACTTTGTTTCTCTTCATTAGACTTCCGGTAATAATACCCAATTGTTTGTTTAACAATTTTATAATACTAGCGATTTTTATGGGTATCCCATTGCATTTTTTGGACAATAAAATAAGCTGCATTTTGATTGTAAGCGAGCGACAAAAGAGCGCTCAATTCGGGTAAAATTTCCTTTTAGCTACTGAAGCAACCCTGTTGGTAGCTGGCAAGAAACGTGTGATTAGTTTAACGGGATTTGGATATAAAAACCAATTTAAATGAGTAATTATGCTAGG